ACACACTAAGCCTGAGTGTCTGGGCCCATGAAATGGGAATTAAAAAACTCCCATCACAGGTTAGTGTTGAGACTAAATATGTAAGCAAAGGGTCTAACATCCATTCATTCATTTCGGCTTGACACAGGCCAGGCAGGGTGCTGGGAACCAGGGCTACGCAGCCCAGGGCCTGGGCCGATCAGAGCGCTCAGCCAACCTGTCGCTCCCATTCTGCTTGAAGTGTCTCCGTGATGGGGCCCTAGTCATGAAGCAAAAACAAGGCAGGCACCAAACGACTCTTCTTGGAAAACAAGAAAAATGGTCACTCACGGGTCCAGTCTCAGTTGGCCACTCATTTTCATGCACCATGACCCCCACCAAAAGGCCCAGGGACCCTCAGAGCAAGAGAAGCCAGCCAGGGGCAGTGGTGCCTGAGTGAGGAGGGCCACAGACCACCCCCAGCAATGAGTGCCTGGAGCTCTGGGGAGGTCAGGCTGGGCTGTGCGAGATCAGCACGCCCACCCCAAACAAAGGGCACCTGCCATCCCATCACTGGAAGGCAGCTGCCAGCCCACCACCAGGCTATGTTATCACAGAGAAGCAATACATGGAGGAGAAACTGGGAGAACCCTGAGAGGCAGGCTTCCTCCCAGCCTACCCCAGTCCCACATGTGGCACCAAGAGCCTCACTAGTAAGCTGGCTGGGAGGGATCATGGAATTGGGGTTTTCACAGCTGAGCTGCCGAAGGTGCCCCATTTGGGGAAATCGGCCCTGCAATGGGGGCTGTCTGGACACTCAGCAGGAATGAGGTCATGATTTCCTACGAGCTGAAGGGCCTCATGGGCAGTGACGGAGGAAGAGAAGGGCACCCTTTACTGAGCACCTACCCTGAGCCAGGAGTTCTGCAAAGCACCTCCCAGCGTTCTCTCAGCTGTTCCCTCCACAGCCCCACCAGCGGCTCTTTTACCACCTCATGGATGCGGAAACAGAGGTGAGGGAACTCTCCCAAGGACACCCCTCCTAGGCGGAAGAGCATCTGCCCCACCCATGCTCCTTCCGCCCTGCTGCACGGCCCCCAGCATCAGCCAGCAGGACCCGGTGGCCCTGCACAGACGTCCCAGACAGGCTGGGTGCACACCAGGAAAGGTGACCAAGGCAGAAGCTGGGGGACAGGGTGCCCTGCCTGACCAGGCCCTGCGGGCTCCAGGGAGGGCCAGTCTCCTTTGCAGCCAACAAGGGCCATGCATAAGGCCCCACATGCCCCCCAGGGCTTAGCAGCCAGTCTGGGAGCTATCGCTGGGTGGGGGGATTCTGGAGCCTGATTCTGTGAGAAGCCAGCCCTGCTTAGAACTGAACATGCTCTTTGGGGGACGTGGAGGAGACCGGCTGGTCTGGTGTGCAGGACAGCTGACTCATAAAGCAGGCGGTGCTCCGGCCCTGCGGGATCGGCCACTGTTCCCCGAGGCCGCCTGGGCTTAATGCACCAGAGACGTTTTGTTAGGAAGATTACAGACGGAAACCGGAGCACCAAAAATAATTAATCTGTGAGCAGATTTTATTTAAGTGTTGATTCATGGTTGTTCTATAAGCCAACAGCCTGTCAGAACTATAAATTAACAAGATAAAATGTTGCTGGCCTTCCATATTTCAGACCGGGTATTGACATTTTAGAATCCACAGATTTTTAACTGTATTGATTGAGGACACCAGGATAAATGGCCTTGGCGCCGAATTCCCATTAACGACGATGGGCACTGAGTGACTAATTCCCCCGAGCGCTGCGGTGAGAACGCCCTGCGTTGCTTTCTCCTGGCAGGGAGTTCTAATTAGATTGAAATGAAAATGCCAAATCACCAAGGGCTGAAAGAGGCAGATCAAGTAAAAAGGGAGATCACTAGGGGATGAGAAAGGGCGAGATGAGTCAAACGAGGCCAAGCCACAGGGGCTACACAAGCCCACCTGACCTCTGCTAAAGAGAGCTGCTGGCACAGCCCGGGCCAGGGGCGGGGGGGTGCAGGGATGAGGGGCAAGATGCAGGAGGGGCTTCCCACCCCTGCCCAGCAGCCCTGATGGCTTTCACTGCCCCCAGGGGCTGGCCTCAGCTCTGTCTCGTCCACACACACTGAGCAGCTGCTCTGAGCCAGCCCTGCCAGATGGAAACACAAAGACCACCGGGACAGGCTCATCCTCAAGAAGCTCCCATACTGACCAGGGAGACAGACACAGACACGCAGGCCCCTCAGCAGGAGGGGCCCTGTCTGGGGCTTCCCCAGGGGTGAGGTCCACACCCCTCAGCCCTATGCTGACACACACTGCACCCCAGCACCAGGTCCTGTACATAGTAGGTGCTCAATAAGTAGCTGCTGAATGAATGAAACTGGGCCTTCAATAGGCGAACATTCCCAGCAGAGGGGTGGAGCAGAAAAGTCCTCCATCACCTCCCTTAGCAGATGGCAAAGCCCTGGGGGCAGAAAGAGGGCACGCTGGAGGGTGAGCCACCTGGGGCCAGGCGAGCTGTCCTCCCACAGGCTTCTACCACCAACTGGGCCAGGCTGCCACCTCCCTTCTCCAGCTCTCCCTAGGCCTCAGGTCACACCCAACCATACAGCAAGCGGGGTGACCTGCCTAGAGGGCAAATCACGCCATCTCTCCTGCCCCACACCCAGCGACGGCCCCCTACTGCCACCTGCTGCTGCAGTCCCTAACTTGCCAGGCAGGAGGCTCTCTTCGGATGTCTGAAAACTTCAGAAACTCCCACACTCACACACACCGACACCCAGTGCCAGTGTCTGTCTAACACCTGGTGACTGGGAAGATGGATTGCGACAAAGGGCACTAGGAACCCGTTAATGTAACCAGACTCACTTGCATCTGACTGACACGAAAAGCATCCATTTACTCCACGGGTGGGTGGTGACCCTGGAGTGGGGAGCAGTGCCTAGGGAAGTTGCACCCCACAGACTGGGAACTGCATGAGGCCCAGGCTCCTGGCTGGCACCCCACATTTCTACACATACCATATGGTTCCCATGACAACTCTGTCCTTGTTGTTCATCTGCTAAGAACCCACTTCCATTCCCCTCAACTATCCCCCTCCACTCCAATTCTCTGTGCCCTACTCTAATCCCTGCCTCAGCTTGGGTTCCACTTCCTCCAGGAAGCCATCCCTGGTCTTCCAGCCTAGATGCTCTCACAGTTCCTGTATCTTGCTCCATCACTGTAACCTGGGATTCTCTCTGCACTTCTGTCTCCCCCAGCAGACATGAGCTTCTCCAGAGTGAACCCTGGGTCTCATCCACCTCTGTGTCTCCATCTCTGGCCGTGGCTTATTGGACACACAGGCAGCAGAGTGTAATAACAGGCAGGTCGCTTTGGGAGCCAGGTGGAGCTGTGCACCCTAGCTCTGCCACCTCCTAGTTTGTGCCTCTGGCCCTGTGTGTAGAAAGACAATTCTAGTGGTGCTGGCTTTGAAGGGCAAGTGGGGACCTAGGTGACACCCTGACTGCAGGGCTGTAGAAGCCCCACGCAGTGGGCTTGGTGACAGTCTTGCTGCCATTATCACTAGCCCAAGTGCCTCCGCCACCAAGTAACCAAAAACCCCCTGAGCCCTGGCCCCCTCGTTGGCCCGGGGGCTCCTGGTAAGACTGCACATGGCTGGGGAAACACTCTGCTGCCAGGGAAAACTGCCTAGACTCTGCACTGCAGAGAGCCCGTGGGGTCTGCAGTTGCACACAGTGGCTCAGATCCCCACTGGCCATGTCCCACTGGGAGGGGGTGAGCAAGTTACTCACCCCTTTGAGCCTTAGTCTCCTCTCCTGTAAAATCAGGAAAATAACACCGGCAGCTGCGGTGAGAATTGATGTGTCGTGTGCAGAACACCTGTGGCACCATCCCAGCCACTGACACAACCATCCATCTCGTCACCACCCTGACTGCGGGCATCTAGGCCCAGTCAGAGGAGCTGCAGGGCCACTGTTCAGCAGCCCGGGAGATGAGGACAAACCCTTCCAAATACTCACGTCTCCCCACACCACCCGCTGCCGTCCCTCCCTGTGCCTCCTCCAGGCTTCAGCGGAGGAGCTGTGTGGCTGGCCCCCAACTTACCGTCCCCTGCTTGCCAGGCCCTGGGGAGGCATAGACCCCTGCACCAGCCCTGCGAGGCCAGGCGGGCGGGGGCTGCCTGGGGACTCAGGGGACATCCCAGGGACTGGTGTGACCTTGTCTCCCTCCTGGCCTAGCAGTGATACCCAGCAGAAATGGGACCCAGAAGGAGCACAGGGAAGAGAAGGCAACGTGGGCACTGAAGGCAGCCAGCCTGAGTCAGGGCAGATACCTGAACCCATCACGTGCTCCCCGCTCTGCCCTCACCTGAGCGCCTGGGGCAGCACCCGCAGGCAGAAGCTGGCCTGGAGGGGGCGCCGACCACAGGAGCACCTGGTAATGGGAAGTTCCTTCCCCCGACTTCTCCCTCCTTCTCGCCCTGCTTGTCAGGAGCCCCCTTAGGATTTACCCAGCACGAATCCATCTTAGGCAAACGCCTTTTCAGTGTGGGCATTAAAGCAGAACTCATTTGCAGACTTTCCTTATGAGCTGGAATCATTCCTTACCGCCTTTCAGCGATAATGAATTGACAGGAATTCTAAACTGATTCCAACCAAAGGACACTATGATAAAGCTAAATCTATTTCAGTACAAATTACATGTCGGAAGTTGATTAAAAAGCCACCTCTTTATCCAGCACCACAGCTTGGGGCTGAGACAACCTTGGGGCTCTGTCCTCTGGGCAGGGCAAGCTGGCACAGGCCCCCTTCGAAAACTCCACAGAGTCTTGGTTCCAGGCAGATACCCTGGAAACTATACACGTCGAGCATGACCCTGTCCTGCGGGCCATCTCTCACTGCCCTGAAGCCTCATGCAGGGTGTGGCTACAGATCCCCCCCAGAGCTTCCTAGTGAGAAGGCTGACTCAGCTGCCAGCTCTGAGGAGGGGTAATGTTGGGGTAATGACTCAGGGAACACACCTGTTTCGAGGTCTGTTAGGTGCAGGGCGAAGTCGAAGCCACCGCTGAGGATGCGCTGGCCGCAGGGCGACCACTGGGCGGCCCGCACGGCCTCGTGGTGCAGGAAGTAGGTCTGCAAGCAGCGCCCTGAGTCCACGGCATTCCACACCTACAAGGCAAGCACAGGCCAGGTGTCAGGGGCGGGGCCTGATCCCTGGGGCTCCACCTGGCCCCTCTGCCTGGGGAAAGGGCCTCTCAGGGGAACTGAGCCCCATTACTTTGCCTTCCAAATGACATCTTCATTTGAACTTTTCACTGTGGCAATGTAAAGGCTTGGGACTGGTCAAGGGGGAGCTTTCCCCAAAATGCTGCTGTGGTCAGGGAGCCCACCAGAAAACAGCGTTCCTGTGCTCTGCCACTCACCTGCCAGGCCTGCACACCTGCTTCACATCTGCTCCACCGAAGCCTGGTCCCACTCAGTTCCTGCCCAGCCTCGCCTGCACCACTGACACCTGTCCTCTGAAACGGGACTTGCTGAGCCCCACAGTGGACACAAAGTCTGCCAGGCTGTCTTCACTGCTCTGGCTTTAAGATTAAGATCCAAAAAAGAGGTGGCCACGTCTGCGCTGACACCCAGGCCGAGGGGCAAGCTGCCTTTCCTCTGGGAGAGACGGGGCTGTCCCTCCCTGCCGCCTGGCTGTCCTTGGGGGAATGCGGCCCGTGACAGGAAGCCCCAGGTACGCTTAATGACTTCTTTTTTTTTCTTAATTTTTTCTTGAAATGCAGCTGACATAATTCTGAAATATGTTTTAAAGCCTTCCAGGACAGAACTGCACATTCTGAGGGCCAGGACCAATCTGTGCTTGAGAGACCTGGGTTCAGCTTCACACCAGCTCCCCCAGGAAACTCTGCCGACCACCGCACAGCCCAGAGGAGAGGCCAGAGGTGTGGGGCCCAACAGGGCTGGCCCAGGGCCTGGCTCGTGCTGCCACTCAGCAGAGGAGCCTCCTCCCCTCACCGTCCCTGCAGGCAGGAGGGGCTGCCACCATCCGCAGCGCTGACAGCCCTGAACACAAGAAGCGGGAGGAGCGCCCGCTGCCTGCACAGAGGCATCAGAGCCGGCCTCCCGGCGGTGCTGGTGCTGGACACTCACATGCCTGGGCCACAGAGCTTGGCCTCTCCAGGCCTCAGTCTCCTTCTCCAGAAAGCAGGGACAAGAGCCCATCCTAAGGGCAGTGGTGAGGCATGGGTGAGGACTGAGCATGCAGCACTACGGCTGGTGCACAGCAGTAGCCGCCCTGGTGGGTATGCTTCTTGGGGTTTGCAGAGCACACGGTTCTTAACAGCAGGCCCCCCGACCCTCTCTCAGCTATGTCAGGGAAACCAAACTTCATTTCCTTAATAGGAGAAAAGCACAGGTTTACCTGCACACAACCGCAAACCTGAGCAAGAAAACCTTCCCTTCCAAGGTGAGAAAATTCATCCTAAAGGCTCTCAAAATGCAAAATATTAGTATATGAAAGCACATTTCCTGAGCATATGTAAATGTCTAAGCTTAAGAAAACAAGAGGTCGAGAAAAGCCTTCAAAGAATGTTAAGAGAGCTCGGTTCCCTTCTTCCTTACTAGAGGTCAATAGTTGGAGTCTCAAACTGAAAAACCAAGACATAGCAGCATTTACATGTAGAAATATGGACAGAAATAACAGAGGGAACAGCCAGAATGGAGTGAGAATTCAGGGCAGAACACAGCAAACTGCTGTTTATTCAAAACTATGCATGACTTTAATTTTAAAAATTAAGCAAAATTAGTGAATGAGATCCCAGGGTTAACATGACTAAACAATAAAAAAGTAACACTGAATACGTAAGACAAGCTGTATATAAGCAGCATAAGGTCATGTAAGTTTTAAAACACACGAACACTACGTCACAGCCATTAGGATACTGCTTCTATCAAAAAAAGGAAAGAAGAGAAGAGAAGAGAGTTGGCAAGGATGGGGAGAGATCGGAACCCAGTGCACTGCGGGCGGGAATGTGAAGTGACCCAGCCACTGCGGGAAACAGCATAGCAGTGCCTTAAAAAATTAAACAGAGAACTACCACATGACCGAGCAATTCCACTTATGTGTACGTACCCAAAAAACTGAAACCATAGTCTCAAAGAGATAGTTGTACACCAATATCCATAGCTGCATCATTCACAATGACCAAAAGGCAGGAGCAACGCAAGTGTCCACTGACAGAAGAGTGGACAAACAAGATGTGATGCATCCATTCAAGGAGGAGATTCTGACACATGCCACAACATGGATGAGCCTTGAGGACATCATGCTAAGTGAGATAAGCCAGCCACAAAAAAGGTAACAGTATATAATTCCACTTAATGAGGTCCCTAGAATAGCCCAAGTCATAGAGACAAAAAGCAGAATGGTGGTTACCAGGGCTGGGAGGGGAGTGGGAGCCAGTGTTTGATGGGGACAGAGTTTCAGGGTCACAAAGCGAAAAGAGCCCTAGAGCTGGAAGGTGGGGGTGGCTGCACAACAATGTGAATGTACTTAAGGCCACTGAAACATACACTTACAAATGGTCAGAATGGTGAATTTTGTTATGTGTACTTCACAATTTCAAAAACACCTATCATGTTTATATGTATATTTATAATAAAAACATGCATGGAGATGGTGGTCCCTCCTGGGAATGGAGGGGTGGGGAAGGGCTGGGAAAAGGGATCTATGAACACTGTATTTCCTCTAAAGACAGGCAGAGTGAGAGAACATGTTTTGAAGCAAATATGCCCAACTGTTTCCATCTCTTAAACTCATTCAATTATTCATTCATTCATTTCCTAAGTACCAAACATTTCCTAAGTACCTGCTATCAGCCAGGCACGGATCAGCAGTAAACAACCAGGACAAAACCCCTGCCTTCAGAGAATTTACACTGTAGTGTGGGAGTCAGGCAGCACGCCAGATAAACAAGCAGAATCTCTCTAGTGTATGGGGTAGTGATAAAGACTGGACTGCTAAGAAGTAAGTAGCAAAGGGGCGATAAGGTCAGGAGAAGGGGTGCAGTGGTGGCTGGGAAGGGCCTCTTGGAGGAGGTGGCTTACAAAGAAGACCTGGAGATAGGAGAGAGGGAGCTAACTGAGACCTGGGGAAGAAACTTCCAGGTGGGAACACGGCCACCCTGCTGCTGAGTAAGCGGAGAGTGAGGGGCAAGGGAGACGCGCAGGGGCTTCTTCAAGAACCCAGAGCGACAGGAGGATGGCTAGACCAGCTGGACGCAGTGGAGAAGTGGTCTCGGGGAGGAGGGAGAAGCGACAAGACTTCCTTGGGTTGGCGATGGAACAGGAGGACACAAGAAAAGTCCAGGACAGCTCCCCAGGTTTGGGCCCAAGCACCAAGAGGTGGGGGCTGCAGGGTGTGATGGGCAACAGGAGGGGCAGATCTGGGGGAGGAAGGCAAGGAGCTCAGTTTTGAGCAGCTGAGAGCAGGTGGCTGGATGCATGAGTGCGGTGTCCAGGGTGGGGGCGGAGCTTCGAGTCACTGTCACAGACAGTGTCACAGAGCAGGCTGGGTGAGCTCTCAGGGAGTAAAGGTCGACAGAAAAGACAAGCAGGGCAGGAGGAGGCTAAGGAGAAATCAGCAAAGGAGTCCGAGAAGAAGAGGCCAGTGAGGCGGGAGAGCAGACAGAAGAGGGGTGTCCTGGAAGTCGAGAGACGGGACATCAGCTGGACCAAGCGCCGCTGACAGGCCATCTGGGTGAGAACTGGGCCAGCGCCCTGGGTTTACAACTTGAGTGGGGGTACACAGGTGTCTGTCACCTTCCATACTTTTTATTATATTTAAAATATTTCATAATTTAAAATAAAAGTGTTAATGAAGAGGGGAAGAAGGAAAAAAGGAAGGGAGAGGAGGGATGGAGGAAGGAAAGGAAAAGAAAGCAAAGGGGAGATGGGGAGCAGTGAGGGGCGTGTGGGGAGGAAGAGGGGGGCAGAAGGAAGGACGGATCCCAGCCCTAACCAAAGGAAGAAGGAAAAGACCTTGAAGCCAGAGCACCAAGGCCAAAAGCAGCAACCTGGGAAGCTGACTTCTTGGCCAGGGGCCCTGCCTCAGCCAGGGGCCCTGCCTCAGCCATGGAAATCCATCAATCTGTAAATTGTCCCGTAAGACCCCTCTGAAGTGAAAAATGAATACGTGGCTCTCCTGGTTGATAAATACACAATGATAGCATCAGAATCGATGCAGGCCAGTCAGCCACCTCTCAGAGCTACCCAAAGTGAAGGAAAGAAAGATCTTTGCTAATCGCTTATGCTAATTGAATTTAATGTTCACTGTCAGGTTTTAAAGATGAATTCCCAAACACCCGAAGTGCTGCCTCACATGCGTACTTTTTTCCAATTAAGTAATTAGAGATCTCAATCTGCCTTCATGGAATTAAGGAGTTAAGTCTTCTGTCAGATGTTCTAAGATGACTGGATATATTAACTAGAGACAGTCTATGAGTCCAACAAAAGACAGATTTGGAAAGAACAAGACAAGTGAAATGTGCTGTCGTTTGCTCGTCCTACATTTAGTGCAGTTTCCGTGTCCTGGTTGCTGAGGCAGGATCCCACTAGGAGCTCCTCACAGTTTTTTAAGACCTACTGCTTTAGCCACAGGTCATGTTCTTCCTGCCTGCGAATCTGCCTTTTCTGATTATAAAACAAATACAATCCCCTTGTAAAATATTCAAATTATACAGAAGTGCAAAAAACAAAACCCCACAGGAGTTAACTATGGGATTGCTGTTTCTCTGATTACATTGGAAGTAAGTGTGCTCTGCAAAAAAAATTGTCAAAAAACACGGAAACACAAAGAAGAAAATAAGAGTCATCCATAAACCCACCACCTGGAGATAATGGCCGTCAGACTTCTGGGTGAACCTTCTCTTCTCATTTGGCCCCACGCTCCCAGCTCCTTCGGAGAGGACCCTCTTAGCCCAGCCCCACCTCCCTGCCTCCTCCCCACCCCTTGACAGCCCCTGCTGCCCCAGGGTGTCAGTGTAGAGATGCTGACAGACTCAGACAGCTTAGTACATATCTGTGCAGTCAGTGCCCAAGCCTTTACCAGGCCACGAACTTGCAAAAGCTTTGAAAACCTTTTAGGGTTGAGTGTGTTCAAGGGCTGG